GATCTCCTATATTTCAATATCCCAACTTCAAGTTCTTCTTTCTTTCTTCACCTTTTTCTTTGAGCAGCTTTTTTCATCATGGTAGATAAAATTTTCTTTTACTTTGCGCAAATAAAATAAATAAAAAAGTAAAAAATACTCGCGTTTTTGCTAGTCTCACCCTATAAATGGTTCGGTTTTCATTTTTATTTTCTTATTATTTTCTTTTGTTAAGCATATTCTGCAGCTTTGTATGTATTTGTATTAACTTGCGAGCTTTGTCGTGATTGTTACGCACTTTTATTTTCCAATATACTCTTCGCCACTTACACAAATCTTAAGTTTATTCAATACGAGTATCTATTGATTTGAATTGTCAAGAGAATTTTTATAGTACATGCAACTGGCGTGACTTTTATTGAGCAGATTGTAATTCACACTTTCATATACAGTCAGCGTCAAAAATATGAATACCCTGACGTTTCTTTCTTTCTATTTTCCATAACAAATTTTTCTTATTTTTTTATAAAAATATAGTTGACGCAACAGCAAAAACCAGCTGAATCAATTGTTTCAATTTCATCTAGAACTCGGGAATATTCAGGACATACCACAAAAATTTTCATAAAAAATTTAAATTTTTATATTCCATTTCTTAGAAATTTATTTTGGGTGTCCAGTTACCCTTGATTTTTGAGATTTTTTTTTGTCAAGGGTGCGTATTTTCTTTCATATAAAAATTGATTTTGTTCATGCGTTACAAGGAAGAAAATGCGAAGCAGCCCGGACAAAAAAAAATTCTCAAAAATCAAGGGTAATTTTTAGAGACTTGAGAATTGCACATTATTATATTAAAATTCAATAGGCTAGATAAGTGCATAATAATTTTCCTAAGAAATGGAATTGAAGAGTTGAAAATTTTGATGACTTTTCTTTGGTATTTCTTCAATTTTTCCGCGTCCTATATGAAATTGAAAAAATTTATTCTGCTGGTTTTTTCTGTTGAATGAACTATATTTTTATAAAAAATTAAAAAAAATTGGTGTGGAAAATATTAATAAAGAAAATCGTCAAAACGTCATGGTATTCATATCTTTGACGCTGACTGTATATGAATGTGCATGTATGTATGTACATATGTATGTGCATGAGTCAATTCATGTTAAATCACCCGATGGTTGGAATCGACCGTTAAAATATACTGAAATTTTTAAGGTGTTTTTTAAAGATATGAATTTTGAACTTTCAAAAAATTTGTTTTTCTTTTGAAAACTCTAAATAAAGTTATTTTTAGCAGTTTTAATTTAATTTAAATATATATTTAATTTGGTTTTCCAAAAAGAAAATGTTTTTCAAAGTTGAAAAATTCATATCTTAAAAAAACAAATTCTTCAAAATTTCAGGATCTATTACGATCAGTTAAGGTATCGTATTTTTCCAAAAATTTATATAAGTTTTTTCTTTTACTTTTTTTAAATTTCAAAATTCTGTATTTTTTTATTTCCAAGTTCTTTCTTGAATACATTTTTTTATAGCTCCAAATATCATCTTTAAAACAAGACCAGCGCAGCATAAAAAATTTATATAAGTTGTTTCTATAACGTTTTTAAATTTCAAAATTCTGTATTTTTTATTTCCGAGTTTTTTCTTGAATGCATTTTTTTATAGCTCCAAATATCACCTTTAAAACAAGACCAGCATAATTTTTGTAACTATACAACTTTTTTAGATTTTCAAAATATTAAAAAAATATGAAATTCTTAAGTTTTGAAAAAATTTTATTTTCATTATTTTCTTTGGCAGAACTTCGTTATATGTTATGTATAGTATGTACATATATATGTTTAATAGAGGTAAATTTCTAGTCAATAGATTTTGAATAATCCAGCCATAAATATCGATATCGATACTGTTATCGGCAATTTTATTGTTATCGATACTTTTAAAGTCAATCACGTTGTTAACAATATTTTTATCGATATAAACAAAATAAATGCTACCGATAAAACTAATCGAAATAGCTAATCGTAATCGTAATTGTAATCGTATTCCTAATCCGAATCCTAATCATAATCGCACTTGTAATTGTAATTGTAATAGGAATTGTAATTGTAATTGTAATTGTAATTTGTAAGTGTAATTTAATTAGTAATAGCAATCCTAGCCTTAATAAGAATCGTAATCAAAATTTTATTAGTAATCGTAATTGTAATCCGAGTCGTAATTGAAATCCTTATATTGTAACCATCTTCGTAATCACAATCATGCTCATAATCATAATCGTAACCATAATCATGATCAAAATCATAAACATAATTATAATCAAAGTCATAATCGTAATCATAATCATAGTCATAGTCGTAATCTTAATCATAATCATGATCAAAATCATAAACATAATTATAATCATAGTCATAATCGTAATCATAATCATAGTCATAATCGTAATCATAATCATAGTCATAACCGCAATCATAATCATAGTCATAATCGTAATCATAATCATAGTCGTAATCGCAATCATAATCATAATCATAGCCATAATCCTAACCATAATCATAGTCATAATCAAAGTCATAGCCGTAATCATAATGATAATCACCATCCAAATCATAGTCATAGTCACAATCATAATCATAAGCGTAGTCGTACTCGTAATACCTTTATTCCGGCAAGTAAGACTAACAAGTAGGTGAAAATAATATGTACAAAAGAAATGGAGAACTAAATAGTATTGAAAGGAAGATATTCCTGAGAATGATATGAAATTAAGTCCTCAGCAGTAAAATTAGTTAGGTCCTGTTTTCGTTAAAAACATTACAAAATATATTCCCCCCACGCTCTTCTCGCCAATTGCACAGTCAAAGGGGTTGGTGGAGGGTTAAATAAGCACTCTTGCCACTTCTACGCTGAACTGCAAATAAACAAGCGGAAAGCAAGCAGAAAAATACAAACAACTAGGTACTTGTACCTTTACTTACATAAGTGCTTACATGCATACACACTTAAATACAAACATATACATATGTATAAAAACCTGAAAACTTATTTGTCGTTAAGTGTGTACGAGCATCCCGTTTGCTGCACTCAAGTAGCGCTGGCATTGTTTGTAGGCGTGTGTATTAGCACACTTGAGTGCCTCAATAAGCTGTTGCACACACACACCCATACATGGATAACACACACATACAGCCACATACACAATCGGGTGCTTTCACTTCATTTCAATTCCCAGCCTTGCGTTTTTCCGTACTTTTTTTTTCGTACGTACAAATATCGTGTTTGAGTGGTAGTACATTTTGAGTACACTAACACCAGCACACTGCGGAAAAAACATGTGACTATGGTATTACAGAGAAGAAAAAAAAACCGGAAAGCACCAAAAGCAATGTATGTTGCAGTAACAAGCTGCATTGCACACTCAGTATTAGAGATTACACGCACGTGTTGTTGCTGCTTTTCTTGTTGCTAATGCAGTAACAGTTGGCTAACGAATTTTTGGCAGCATGCGCATTTCGTTCAATTTGCTGTAGCAACATTGTTGCAATTTCACCACAACTACGCGCACACTTGCATATACACATTTGTATTGATATTTACTAAAGTGCCTCGCCCCACCAACAAACAAAAAAAACCCCAGCAGTTCTTTGTCTCAAAGCAAGTCATAAAACGTGGACTATTTTTCAAGATTTTTTTACTTCCTCCAACATACACTCCCAGTCATTAGATTAGCATACCCTTTTGATCCTCAGTATGTACAGTTTTAATTTTGTTTGTTTAATATTCATAAATTTTTTATAAATACATATGTAGCATAAATATTCTACGCGTAATTTTATAAATTTTACAAAGGGATGTGCTATCCGAATAACCTGCAGTGTATAAGTTAATAATCAGCCTCATTGCGTAAGTCGTAAATTAGGCTAAATTGTACGACTCGACAACAGTAGCATTGTCTATTGTCGTACTGAAATAAGTAAACGACGAAAATTGTCGAAAACTATGCAGTGATGCCAAGTTCTTCCGTTTTAATACACTAGTCGAGTGGAAATTTTAGGCAATGACGCTAAATTTTCGATACGATTCGACTCTCGAAAAACGACTTGCATTCGGCACGACTCTCGCAATGAGGCTGAATATTTTTAGAAAAATTCCGGCTATGCAGATATGTAGCCCATGCGATGTTAGCATATTAAAGTTCCAGTTCAAGTTCAAGAGTCAAAGGGCTACAAAATACCGCTGATTTTTGCAATTTTTTTTGGTTGGCGGTGCTGCGCATTTACTTCTTTATACAATTTTGTCGAGCATACTTTTTATGCGAGAAAATGCAACACACCGATAATTATAAGATTATAAATTTCCCCCTTTTTTGAAGTCGCTTAAAACTGTCTTTTTTGAGCAGAAATTAATCGCCTTTTGTTTTTCAGGTATTTACATATAAAAATCTGTAAATATGTATGTATAGTTTTAGAACACAGTTTTATAAGAGTCCCGTGAGTGTTTGAAAAGCCCTGAAATATCCAGATGGCACGAAAAATTGGGTTTTTCTACAAAAATTTTCCAAAAAATCCCGAAGGAATAACGAAGACTTTCCAAAGATTCCGAAAAGTCATACAAAAATCCTAAAAAGTCTCGAACAAATTTCAAAAGTACTCGAAAAGTGTGGAAAAAATTTCGGAAGCCTGTAAGTCTAACCTTTAATCGAATAGAAAACATAACGGTAATTATTTTTCAGCCATTAAATAAAGAACTTAAGTACATTTTTTCTGCAGACAGTTCCCAAAATATAACAATAACATTCCGAAAAATCCTGAAACAATCCCAAAAATTCACGTAAAATCACGAAAATCTCAAAAAAAAAGACTCAAAAGAAATATTTACCTTCAGGAAGGCTACAGGAATTACGTTTTATTTTTCAGGAATTCATAAAATGATTTAAATGTACTTTTTGTTCAGAATGTCCAGAAAACTTCCGAAAAATTTCGCAAATTAATCACACGAGTTTTCGAAAAATGCCGAAAAGCCTCGAAAAGTTTCGAAAATCCTGCACAGGTAATTTTTAGTTTTTATTTTTCACCCATTTACTAAACGATTCAAATACACTTTTGCAACAGAAAGTTCCCAAAAAGTCGCAAAATATCACGAGCAAATTCCGAAAAATCTCTAGAAATCACAAAAACACTCCGAAAGGCAAAGCTTGTCTAAGCTTTTTGGGCAGAATTTTTTAAATTTATTTTTCAGAAATTCATTAGATGGTTAAAATTTTCTTTTTGTCCAGAAAGTTCGCGAAAATTTCTGAAACTGTTTCGAAAAATCCCAGAAAGTGGCGAAAAAGTCATAAAAATCCTAAAAAGTTCCGCAACATCAAACAAAATCCGGAAGTGCAAGCATTGTCTAGTTTTAGGCGCATAAGTCAGAAAAATGTTTAAATCTACACAAATGTAACGTAGTGAACCACAGTGAAAAGTAATACTTTATATGATGCGTTTAAAGCGGAAGCCGATTTAGAGCCAGGCTGACTAGGAGTTTTTCCAGTTTTCAGGAAATTTGCGTTTGCAAATTGCAAAAAATTGCATTACCCAAATGATCATGGAAAACTTCACTAATTCGCGGGTTATTGAAAAGTATGTCAGCCTAAAGTACTTACTATAATCTGTGACTTTATTCGTTGGAAATCTAATTACTTTTAAAGCGCTGTACGGTTCATGTAGGTAAGTAGGCCTTTTGATTTAACATTCAGCAGCCGTCAAATGTATTTATGGCAAAAAAAGCAGCACTTTTTTTTTGGTTTTGGTGAGGCATCCTAATGTGCATACAAATATGTATGTATAACTACTGCATATCAACCGCCAGACAAACACCATAGGACACAGCTGTTGCTGCAACTTTGTAAGGTGCAACAATAAAACCAAAGAAATGGAAAAACCTGAAAGGATCATTTGAGAAGTGTTTGCTTGGCTGCAGTTGTGTGTTACAATTGTGGTTGCTTGTGGGCATGCAAACGCAAACACGCACATATACATATAGTCAAAAAACATGCATAGGCTCATATAGTGCAAGCATAGTGCAGATTTTCATGTGAGCAATGTGAGAAGACTGCATATGTAGCTGAAATCGTTCTACGTGGCAGGTGACTTATGCAGAGGCTTATCGTTCTTGAAAAATCATACAAATGCACTTATGTAGATATGAAGTAGAAAACTCTGATTTTATTTTGTGGATTTTAGCAGATAAGTAATACAGTAAACAAGCTGAGGATTTACTGCTTATGTATGTGCATGCGTGTGCGTCAAAAACCAAATGGGATTAAAAGAGACTAAATTGCCTATTTGTTTTGGTTTTTTTTTGTAATGAACTGACGAAAGGTCGGCATTTACTAAAGTGCCTAAAACCGTATGCCACTTTTACTTATCGTTGATAAGTTATAAGGAAGGTATAACTACTAGATATGCGATTCACATGAACTGGTCGGCTTTGAGCTCAGGTTAGGCGCATTGAAATCGATGCGATTCGTACAAAAAGGGCGGAAATGTTGGCAAATTAACTTCCAACTCCACAACTTATATCAACTTATTTACTGTTCTGAAGGAGAATTGCTCAGATCTCATCGCAAAGTACTATGACTATTTTGAAATGACACGTCTTCTTGTTGTCCTTGTAAAGCCCTTATTTTGTCGAAAGACCAAGTTACTCGAATTCCCTGATATTTGATGTCATTGTGAAACTGAAGTGAACTAAAATCTGATAAATTTTACATATTTTTGGAATTTATTTTTATAAATTCATAAACTCGCTCAGTTACTGCAGGTCAAAGGAACATTTTTTTTTAAATTTTTGCGATTAAAAAAAAAAAATATATATATTTTTTTCAAACCCTGGTAGCGGCCTATAAAATTTTTGTAAATCACAAAAATTCGACAATATTTTACTAGAAATCTTAAAAATTTGACAAATTTTTGGAATTGAATTTTATAAATTCATAAACTCGCTGAGGTACTGCTGAATTTTTTAAGAATTTTTGCGATTTAAAAGAAAATATATTTTTTTTTCAAATCACAAAAATTTGACAAATTTTTTGTAATCACAAAAATTCGAAAAATTTTTTACTTGAGATCTGATAAATTTGACATATTTTTGGAATTTAGTTTTATAAATTTATAAATTCGCTCAGTTACTGCTGGTCAAGGGAACATTTTTTTAAGAGTTTTGCGATTTAAAAAAAAAATATTTTTTTTAAAACCCTGGGAGCGGCTTATAAAATTTTTGCAAATTTTCCAGGATGTGCTTTTTTGTATTTTTGGATAACAAAAATACTCAACTGAAGTCTCCCTTTCTCTAAAATTGGTGCAGGTAAAAAAAAATCGGCTAAAGAGTTTGAAGTTAAGAAAAAATATTTACTTTTAAATGATGAGTGGCGTTTTTTTGATATCCAATATAGAGGACGAAAATTTTAAATATAATTGTATGACATTAAATTTGTTACTCGGGGGTTCTTGGGGTCGCTGATTACCACTATGACAATAAATTTTTAAAATTCGAATAGCCGGATCCAATATGGGAAATTCAATAAATTTAAAAAAATGTTGCCGCCATTTTGTATTCGCCATCTTGAATTAAAAAAAAAATGCATGATCTTATTCGTAATTAGGTACACAAAAAACCCCTGAGTAACAAGTTTCGAGCGAATT